CACGCGTACGAAGTCGCGGGCGGCCGCTAGTACTAGTATAAAATATCGTTAAGTGCCCTAGAAACTATTTGAATTTGAATATACATACATATATGAACATTATTGAACATGGGTATAACAGAAGTCAAGGTAGATTTTTTCCCTGAAAAATATTTTTTAGACTTCAGTGTAAAGAATTTTATTTTTGTTAAAAACAAATATAATGATTAATAATTATCTTATGCATTGATCTGCAGACACAAGCTTTATACGCCATCTATGTATTCCACTGGCAATCAAGTTTTACAGAATGGAAAATCCATTCACTTTTATGCTATGGTCTTACTAAAAAGTTGCTTTTACGTTAGTTGTTTCACCGATACACAAGCAGATGGCGCTTATAAGGTTTTAAATGTTTTGAAAATAAATAATTTATTTATCAAAATTATAAGGAATGGATACTCAACCTACGCCTTACTACATTTTGCCGACTTACAAGCTTTTTTGACACAATTAAAGATTTTTTAGATTTTAAAGGTTGCGATAAAATCTTCTCTAACAAACCGAAATTCACGGAGGTGATGAAGCGGGAAATAGTTTTTCATATTCATATGGAAATCTCCTATCTCCCACATCCCTTTTACCTATATCGTAGATTTTTAAGTGTTTTAAGTAGAGCAGTAAGCCCCTCTGATAAAAATAATTATGGATTAGATAAATGACAGCAGTTTTAGAATATTTTTCAAGAAAGCTTCATTTTTTTTTTGGGCATCAATCCGTAGGTAGGTAAAATAGTTCACGAGTAACACTCTTTAGAAGTTATTTTAGTCGGTAAAAAAGACTAAATAGTCCATCAACAATAAAGTTTTTGCGTCAATTTGAGTGTCGATCGCTGAACTCTCACAATGCAAACGTGATCGCAAAAAAACTGCCCCGATGCATAGCAGCAGAACCGGGCAGCGACGAGTCGTATTTAAATAGAGGATTCCGTACCAGTTTTTCAACTTATACTGTAAAACTGTTTAGGTTGAAAATCAAGATTTATACTAGCCTCAGTATCAGGAAGATAGTTAATGGACTTTCTTAGGATGTATGTAATGTAATACGGGCCAGTGTGGCCCAAACTGAAAGTGTACCTACTTGGATCAACGTCCCGATATTTACCAAATCTCATTGTCTATTTCGAATACACGACACATGTGAGAAAATTGCCTTTTTCCGTGGAAAAAAACATTATCAAACTACCTTGATAGTAAGGCATGGACTATTGGACTCTTTTTTATCATAAACGCAGTTTATTCCTTACTCCTTACGTATTATTGATAAAGCCTGGTCCGTTTTTTCCATTGTCCCAATTTTGTCCATTGACCCCAAGCTACCCATCCTTATCGTTCGCGCGTAATTATGTTGCTGTCGGGACTGTGCGACGGGCGCCCGCAGTGAGTGTGCGAGCGCGACAGCAACCAGGCTTTAGAAGAAGACGTTATTCTCAATATCTCATTCCCAAATCAAGTGTACGGATCCCTATATCCGACACGACAGCCGAGTAACCCATTTATCGTACGCTGTGTTACGTCACCGTTCGGAAGTGAGCAACTTCCCGCGCCACATGCCCCCCCGAGCGTGACCGTCCATGGCGTTGGGTAACTTCTAGTGATCTAGTCTGTTAAAGGGGTCTAGATCCAAAAAGAAGAGACAGTGTTCCGGTACGGATAACTTGCAGAGACAACAGCATGAAGATTACTGTCTTTCATTTATTACACATACTATCGAAGTAACATATTGGTCCTTCGAGCCGGATCGTCGTTTAGACATTACTCACAAACATTTCTATGAGATCCCACAGTGCGTGGACGCACAGGTTAACACACGAACCAATCAGAGCTCAATTCAACGCTGTGCGTTCGATTTGCTGCGTCACATAAGCTTAAGCATCGTTTGTGAATACGGGCGTAAGACATCATACTTTATCATCATCGTCATCTTCATCACCATCAGGTCATTTGGTATACTGCAGGAGGGCAGACAAACCTTTTTATTTCACCAAAAGCAATATGAGACTTCAAAGAATCGTAATAACGATTCTTTGAAGTCTCATATTGCTTTTACGAGTGTGTACTTAAGTCGGATTAAGAGACAAGTTTGTTTAGTTGTGCAACAAAATATAATTTTTAATGTGGTATTCTTTACCTCACTATGACAACTACTAAATGTTGAGTATACAATGGTCAATTCTAGCTTTTATTAGCTTATGACTCTATCTAGACTCCACCCCTCCAGACTCTACCTGATTCCGGGTTAGATTAAAAATACATTACAACATTCACACACCTACGTAATAAAATCTTTGTTGTGTTGGATAAAAGATTAGAAATTTTGAACACAACATGATTCACTAATGAAGATCGAAGATCGTGACTGGAGCCAGACTGGCGGCGATTGTCTGTTAACTGTCTACCATAAGTAATGGCCTTGACTTTTGACTATGGCGTTCTAAAAATATACATTTCACACAATTAACTTGTTTGGGCGTTGAAAGCCAGACTAGTCTTATAAGTTTAGACTGTATATAGATCTGTATAATTAAATATGTAGTTTGTATAGCTACATCAAAAACTCTAAAGTTTCGTTTAACAACTGATGAACTTAACGTTAGTTAGTTTGATAATTAGATAACATCTGATTGCCTGTGAACTTATCCATGGGTGCTCAAAGGACACCAAAATGTCGCCTGGAGGCCACTGGGTGATCAATTTCAGGTGATCAAAGTGGAATAGACCTAGGACCCGTCTTATAGGGTTTGACTCTACACCTAACCGTTGGGTCATAAAAATTCTATGACTTGCAATGGCAACAGGTACTCTCTATGACTTTAACGTTAATCTCAGATATTTCCAGGCTATCAAATCTTCCTTTTAAAATTCTACCAAGTACAAAACACTTGTCTAGAATATTTAGAGCTTCGGTAACATCAAATAGAGCCTAGCACTGAACTATTAGGCTTGATTGCATTCGCAGCACGCCGCAGTTTCTCCGTTTACTACCAGCGCTTGCCAACAATCACTTTTCCATTGTTTACATTGACCACACGCGTGCTGTTCTATTATGTGAGTTCTCACAGACTATAATAGCGAATTTGAGGAAAACATAGATTAGCTAAACCTAATGTCCATCGGCAAAATACAATTTGATTACTGCCTTTTCTCTCGGCATATTTACACCATAATACATTATATACCTTATATTGTATTGTAGGTAGTGTAAAATACATAGTTCGTGTCACCCAAAGTGGCCAAACCGGTGACAACACAACCTTATTCCAATTGTGTCAAAGACGTTGCGAACTTATTGGCTACTAGCTTTCCGCCCGCGGCTTCGCGCGCGTGGACTACATTATCTACATATTTTACGGAACCCTATTTTTTTCCAAAATAAAATGTAGCCTATGTTACTCTCTGGTGGATAATGTAGCTTTCGAATGGTGAAAGAATTTTTAAAAACGTTTTTGAGCCTATTCATTACAACCAAAGAAACAAAGTTTTCCTCTTTATAATATTAGTGTAGACATTGGGTGTCACGAACTATTTGACGCTGACTGTACCTACACTACACTATACTTAAACGCTAAATACCTACACTGTACAAAAACACTACTTTGTGGGTCAATGTATTGCACAATTTTTGCAAATATAACACGTATGATTTGAATATTAGGAGCTTTTTCAATCTAATCAAAATTTTTAGTGATGGAAATCAACTCTAAATTAGGTACAATTTTCTTATAATATATCACTAAAGTGAATGAGGTATGTATAAACAAGTCCCCATCAAAACATGGGTGAAATAAGTAAAGGAATTTATCATCCGTTTACTGTTCTGTTACTAGTCAAAGTTTCCGTCACTTTCTTCGAGTGAAATTATCGGACGTGCGGATTACTGCTGTATCGAGTTTCCTCAGGATGATGAGCACATGTTCTTATATTACCTTGTTCGACTAGGCTTGCCACATAAATATGGCTTTTATTTCAACGTTTATGGTGTACAGTAGTCAATGATTGTACCTTTATAGGATTTTATGTCATAGTTTTTGCATGAATAGAAAGATTCAGAAATTATTTGACACAAGTTAAAATAAACATAGGGCATAGAATATTGCAAACCATTAATTGAGCTGTTTAAACTATGACAAGTTGTCAATATGGTTTTAACTTCAAGAGACAATATCTGACCTACTCTATTAATATTATTTCAATAATATTAGGAGTCGGGACTACCCTATAAAACGATTATAATACAGGTACCTATCTCTCTTATTAATTCTAAAGTTGAGGTAAAACTACTTATTATTATTCTGTGGTAGAACTATGTACTACTGATAGAGCCTAATAAGTTTTGCGCAGTCAAGGAGTTACGACGGGATTATTATATCACAATACATCATCATCATTTCATAAGATGTGTTTATTTTTATTTTATTATAATGTAGGTCGACTACTTCAAAAATCTTGATCGGAATGCCGGAACAGATCATCAGAAAGTAAACTAGAGTATCGTTACGAGTCAGTAAAAGTCGCCTATTTTTAGAACTAGACTCTACTTTTTTATTTTATTCCACTTATTGCATAATCTTATGCGAACGAACTGTCGCATAATTATAACATCTTAATCTTTAAATCTAGTCCACTGCAATGGACAAAACCTCCATTGTTCTACACATTCCGTACTAATTGTTCACGTTTACAGAACAATGTTAATAATGATATTGCTGCAATATTATCGCATTTAATGCGAATGTAAGTGCTGGTTACTTCACCATGTTTTGTCACACATGCGACACATGCTCTTCCTTGAATGATATAAGTAAGACTTTAATAGCTATTTACATAAAAGTTCTTGCCAATGATATAACTGTGAAGTGTCTATTGATTTACCGTGTCTTTAAAAATTGTGCGTGACTAGTCCACGTTATGATTTACGCGTAAATCAGATTATGTATAAAATAAAAACAACATCAATCACAATACAACATTTATTGAAAACAATAACAACTTATGCTACAGCTTCAGATAATAAATAAGCTATCTTAAACTAACATATTTACAGAAATTCACGGCTCATAAACATCAAGTGACAATGTTATTTGGAATTATGAAACAAAGCCATAATTTATGATTCACACTCCGGTGGAAACCAGTTCCAAGACATGCCCAAACACATAATAAGCTAATTATTACGACACACAGAAATGAAAGCACCCCGCAAGTAGCCAAGACGTCCACGCTGGCTGCAGATCAGACACTCTCGCGCACCTAATTAGCGGAACGCCCGTAAATAAATAACAACAAAGGCAATACTTTCGCTACACGTCGCACTATCGCTCATCTAAACGGCCTTCCTCACATGCATAATAACTATATTTACAACGAGATTTGACTTTGTACATATCAACAGCTACCAAAAGAACATTACTGTGCTCTGGGCTTAAGTTCTTCACTGTATTTAATCGTGTTGTAAGAAGTCTCACTGTGGGCGCCTTGGAGCTCTCCCTTGGGGTGTCCGTACCGGGGACCGTGGCTGCTGTGACCACCGAAACCATGTTTGTGACCTGACGAGAATGAGCTCACAGCACCGTGACCGGAGTAAGGAGCTTTGTAAGATGAGCTACCGCTACCGAAGCTGGGGAATGATGACTTCGTGGGCACGTAATATTGAGGGCTCGATGACGAAGCAGCGTGAGCTGAGTTAGAGGGATGACCATATGATGAACTTGGCGATCCGTAAGAGGCACCGGGGGCAGATCCTAGATGACCTTCAGATGCAAAAGACGCAACTGACTCAAGAGAAGATCCGAATCCTTCAGATTTAGCAGGCAAGTAAGATGGGGCGACGAATTTAGATGAACCGCCACCGAAGCTACCACCGAAAGATCCGCCTAGGCTGGCACCGTGTCCACCAGAGCTGAGAGAGAATCCGTGACTACCACCACCCAGGGAACCGAAAGATGGGGCACCGTAGGAACCAGAGAGACCAGACAAACCATGGCCAGATGAACCATGTCCAGATTCACCTTGAACGGAAGCACCTATGAAGGCCGAAGGCTTGAAAGACGTTTTTGAAGGAACTCCGTAAGTGGCACCACCGAAACCTTTGATCGCTCCTCCGAAAGAATGGCCACCATTACCGAGGGAAAGACCAGGGAAGGAATGTCCGTGGCCGGAATTCAGAGCGATAGCACCTTCGCCGAAGGAGTGACCGCCGCTGGATAAACCGCCGAACGAGTGACCAGAACTGGGAGCGTTAGCAAATGAGTGACCACCACTGGACAGCGCACCGAATGAGTGTCCGGAGCTTGGAGCAATAGCGTAAGAGTGTCCGCCACTGGATGATCCGCCGAGGGAATGTCCGGAGTTAGGTTGACCGTAAGTTAGAGCTGGTGCGTTACCATGAGAATCAGATGGCGAGAAAAGTACGGGGCCAGTGGAGTAAGAACCAAGACCTTTAGTGCCGGCAGCATAGGAAGGCACACTGGATTGATGCTCAGACACGGCATACTGCTGCTGTAACTTGGGAGCGTTGAAGGAGTACTGAGGGAGAGATAATTCTTGACCTTCGTGACCACCCTGATCAGCTTGTTGGTAGCCTTCGCCGCCGGTCTGAATCTGAAGCGCTCCTGAATTCAAACCGTGGGAGAGTTGAGACATCAGCTGTGATAGATCTGAAGCTGCAAATCCATGGTTTGGTTGAAGGGTGATAGGAGCGAGTTGAATGGTGGCGTGTCCACTTCCAGGTAGACCTTCAGAGCCGAGTTGGTATCCGCCGTCGCCATGTCCGCCTAAGCTGAAGCTGGGCTTGGCTCCTCCAACACTGTATCCCGCCCCGATGCTGATGGCGCTAGCGTCGCCGTGTCCAACCGAGGGGGCTTGGAAGCTGTGTGACGAATGGGATGGATACCCGACGGGAGCTTCCCTTTTGTCTTTGGGTTCGTCCGCTTTCTTGATCTTGATGGCCCATGAAGCCGATACGCTTAACGCGGCAATGAGTACGACCTGCAAAAAAAATACAAACTTTAATTTAAACTATTATTTTAGGTTACTATTACAAGTTTTAACAGTATTATGTTATTCTTTAAGTTGTTAATAAGATCTTAACAGCTGTTTCATGTTTATCTTTCGTTATAAAATAAGATTCGTTTTCGTTGATGCAAATGCGAAAGAAGACACAAACAGGTTTTTCGAAAAAATGGAAACGCTGTAAGCCTGCGTTGCCAGGTTAACGGCGTCCCGCATGGCTCTGCTCAGATTAAAGCCCACATTATAAATTTGATTTCACTTTTACTACTTTTACTTCGCTCGGAGACATGTGTAACTTCTGTCCAAGTCACGTGACTGTGGTCACTGTTTCGAGACAATTATTTAGATCAGCAAGTACCGTTGCCGGCAGCGCATTTCTAACAACTCTCATTTGCATAGATTGCATTCCTGACATAAACGGATTATTGCCATCTATTTATTTGATAGCTTCTCTTAGAACGAACTAGATAATGATATCCTGGAGGGGTTATTATCACTGGAATGGTCCTGGTCACTTCACTTATCACAGCCACAGGTATCACGCACACACTCACCGTGAATTTCATTTTGGATGCTTATTAGGAATGCCGGAAGCGTTGAACGGAACTAAACCACTACACGAGGGTTTGGACACAACGTAAACAAGATGTGATCGGCTGGCTCGCACAGCCGCCGAATTCGTAATGTGTTGTGGCTGTGTTTTCACCGAATTTATAAAGCGAGTAGCACCCGGCGCCCGCAGGGAGGGTAAAAGTGTATCGGAGGACCCTTTCACTGTCTGAAAGAATGGGATCGGATCGGAGCCCAGCGCGGCGATTGCGTCACGCGCTCTGTGCACTCGGATGCGCGGGCGCAGACGGGTTGGCGGGAGATTGGTATCCCTTCTCGAAAATAGGTCACCAATAAATAAATAAAAATCGAATGTGAATTTTTGTGATATAATGATTGAGTTTTAGTCTGTTATGAAAAGGAAACGGATGTATTAATTAATTACAATGTGTTAAAAATCGAATGATTTGCACAAGTTTGAACTGTGAGTGAATTGTTATACATCAAGAAATTATTTTCAAAAGTGTTGTAGTTATAAATATAATTGTGCCGTGTAACATATTTTAGATTAAGCGATTTATTTAAAAGTTTCGTTTTGTTAACTTTTTGATTTAAAGTTTACATTTCAATAGACAGGTATGTTTTAAATTTTTATTACGCCAAAAAGGTACCAAAATAATAACTTTGAAAGCGTTATTGATATTTATAACAAGCAAGCAATAATGCTAATAAAAAGCCGTTCAACGATATGGTAAACTACATTACCCTTATTCGAATACCATAAAGCAGCAATTACCGCATCTTTAGACCATCTACTGCAAGTTTCGACCGAACTTTACCGAAATAAAGACATGCAAAGCAGTGAAATCGACATTGGCCTCCGTCCAAATCTTCATAAATGTTAGCTTGCACTCCAACGGAGTGATTCGGCGATTCAAAGGTGCGAAGATCAGTTTCAATGATGCGGTTAGTTGTTATTGATCGTGCCGAATAGCTTTATGGAGCTCCGATTCTTATGATAATTCTTTTGATTGCTTAGGCATTTCGAATATTGACTACGTTCGAAAGTGTATTAATATGTAACACATGGTACGATAGAGATGTAGGTATTACTTTCTTACTCATAAAACAAAACTCATATAAATCTGTGTCATGCCTAGGTACGAATTCTTTATTTCACTAACTTGGTATAATAGAAGACTGTTGTACAAAGGATTTCAGTTGCTTTTATTTTAATTTTATTTATTTTCAATTTAAATTATAATAAAGGTAGGTAGGTACTTAATCAACACCAGAAATCTTTTAAACGTAAGTACCTAACTAAGGTATTATCGTTATGATATTCCTTTATCAAACCACGATTTATTGCTAAGCCCATGCAACTGCACTTTCATCCAAATGATGTAATTATAACTATTTTTAACGCGCTGCCCCCTGCCGGCAGCGTGGAAATTGATCGTGCGTGTTACATACAAGTGCAAAGAGCGTGGGCTATCCATGACTGACTTTGTGTGTTGATGCCGAATTAACATTCCGTTTTGACAGCTCATTCATTAATCCAGTAACGTTTCGTGGAAACGCCTTTTGTTTTTATTTATCGCGGAGCGTGCGCTGTGTTTTGTTTATCTATTAGAAATGTCAGCTTCTGTAGGTATTCGTTTCAGCCAAATCACGCCCACTGTTGAACAATGGCCTCCCTTGAGGGAGGCCCACCAGTAGCGGCGTAAGGGGTGGGCGGTGGGAGTGGTCCGCCACGGGTGCCATGCATCAGGGGGTGACACAAGTCGCGCAGATTAGTACTCACTGGCGCATCTGCATGGCAAATCTGCGGTGTATGTCATGATATGGGGGGTGCGATTGTCTTTCAATCTTCGAATCGCTAGGTAGCCCCAAAATTCTGGGGGGTACCAGGGGGTGTCTTAGGACTTATGACNCTCACTGGCGCATCTGCATGGCAAATCTGCGGTGTATGTCATGATATGGGGGGTGCGATTGTCTTTCAATCTTCGAATCGCTAGGTAGCCCCAAAATTCTGGGGGGTACCAGGGGGTGTCTTAGGACTTATGACGGGGGGGGGGGGTGATCGCCCCGGGTGCCAACCCATGCTACGCCGCCACTGCTGCCCGCATACTTCCCGCATCCAGGTGCTTCCCGCAGTTCTCGCATCTGTGAGTGATTGCCCTAACTGGAGTCCACATAGCATAACTGCTTAAATTGTATGACTGACCTAATGTGAATGCTCTAATTTGGTAAAGGAAGCAAAAGTAATAAGTAGGTATTGAGTATTGTAGAAATATGTACCTAGCGGAAACATTTTACGTATTATGTTTGACCGATATACCTACTTATAATATTTCCCGATAAAACGTCGGCAATTAAATAAGTAAAGGTGTATGATTCTGTAAGTGGTATTTGCAAGCTCAAACAATTAAAACGCCGCTTACATCAAAGAAGGCACTCTTCTGAGTGGTGTCTGCAACACCAAACAATTAAACGCTTATGTAAGAACTGGTTCAAAATTAATAACATCAGTTCAACGACACATAAAATTCATAAAGATTAAATACCTTAATTCAATTCTCAACAGTATGATTACAAATTATGATGTAAACATTACTTACTGAAGACAAGAAGTTCGTTTAATTTTGCAATTTATCCTTTTTGATTTACACAACAACTATTATTTTTTTCTGCACAATGACTAAAAAAGTTGCTATTTCCTTTTTTAATTGATTTTTCAAATAAGCACTAATTTATTATTCGACCGCAAATGAAAGAGATCGTAAGTTATTGTAACTTCATTATTGCGAAAAACTTTCAGAAGTTAAGTACATTGGAATTGAAAGTCTTTTAATAGAATTTACAGTTACATAAATCAATGTTCTTATTCATGATTTATGATTAATATTAGGATTAGACTCTAGATTTAGACTTCTAAATAGCTTTTCCATAGAAGTACCTACACGAGTACTTAAGATCAGTTCATGTACTGAATTATCTAACGTGTTAATGCGTAATTAATCACAAATGTACGTCATTTGAATTGATTTTAATGTGGAAAATGTACACTATAATTATAATAACTAGAACTCGATATTTTGATATACGAACAAATACGATCTAGTCAAGCCCTTCCATAAAGTTTTTGTGATTATTTTAATCATTTAGAAAGTCATATTTTATGTAAGTAAATTAATACTTAGGTATTAAGAGTACTAAGGAGATAAATATTGAAATGTTTTTACAATACAAATACAAATTGAAGTGCCTATAACATAAAGAAATGGGTTCCCAAAATAATTTTATGCAGTTAGAATTTTTATACCGATTAGACAGCATGTATCTTACTAATCATCTTCACACATACTGCCTAACGGAACAACATTAAAAATGTAAGAGAAAACTTAATAATTAATTACAACACTATGTATGGAGTTAATTACATTTCACTTGTTACACAATATAGAATTATTTTATTTGCATTAGCATTAGTTACTGTTATATCAATACGTTACGTCACTGCACTCGTTTCCGATATGAGGGAAATATGTACATCCGAACTGCACAGCAGTGAATAGAATGTCATCCGACGTGATTGGACTACTTACTGTTACTATTATGTCACTGACTGTAACACCAACAACTTGTTGCTAGCCAACGGCATTCCCCAATCTATTAGTATTTTTATAAGAAGTAGATAACTCTGACTGTCTCGTTTTTACGGTTAAACCGTTAAATTAATTTTGATTTAATGCAAAGCAAGGTCGTATTGTGCCAGGACAAGGCTAAAGGACATTGACCAAAAATGTATGGAGTGTGGTCCAAATGTCCACCACTAACGAGACCTATGTAGTAAAATAGTCTATTATATACTGATTCATTATAACCAAACCGCAATCAAAAATATGCTGTCAGTAAAAAGTTATTACTGAATGAAAACTACCTTTTTACCTTTTCATCCGAAAAATGTTCTTGATATCATTCTATCCATCGCACATTTTGGACTAATCTATGCATGTTATGTCATGTCGCATGTGGCACGGGGTTATAGATGAATTTTATTAAATATTATACTAGTTATGCCTACGAGTTTGAACGCGTGAAAATAGTTTGAATAATATTTCCCATTTTTACAACATTTGTCTTTACTGCTCCGCCCCTATTGGTCCATAACAAAAAAAATTTTCAAATCGGACCAGTAGTTCCTGAGATTAGCGCGTAAACTATTACTATTTTTCAAACAGTCATAACTTTTTACTGACAGCTTTTTTTTTTTCGTCCCATACTGAAAGTTAATCTCTATTTGATGGACTATAAGCCAATATAGGTCTCATTAGTGGTGGACATTTGGACCACTTTTGGTCATTTATTTATTTTTTATTTATTTTTTTAGGCTAAATTTTGTCGTGAAAAATAAATCTTAAAAGGGATGATAGAGTCTGAAAGTCCGTATAAGGAAACCATTATAGCTTAGCATACTTAGCGGTATGTAAACTCTTTTGTACAATTTTGGTAATAATGTGTTTAAAATACTTAAAAACTCATTTTATTTAAGTAGGCTTTTGATGACTTTCTGAACTTATGAAAATCTACACGAATGAAGCCTCAAGCAGAAACTACTTTATGTACAAACTTCCATATCCGTACTTTAAAACTCTATAAAGGGACTCTATGTTAAGAGAAACAGCGATCTTTATCTTTATTGGTTTATGCTACGTTGGCATAACGCTCTGTGATTTAAAAGGTACTTGGACCCTATCCAGTTTATTGTTCAAGTTAGTAATTTTACATTGGATAGTAATTTTCTCCCAGTTTATTGACTCTATGTCGAGTCTGGAAATTAATATAATTTGTTCTCGGTTTGTCGCATGGCACTCTAGGGGCGTGGCATACCTGGTAAACTGTGATTTAATCTTAAAAATCGGGGGTTCACATTACTTATACTTAGTATTCCCCTCTACCTCGCTTCTGTGGTAGAGTGGCTAGAGTTAGGCATCTCTCCTAGAGATTCTATGTTTGTCTAAAAATAATTTTGTGTATCTATTCCCAATTTGCAACCTTCCTGTCTGGGAACAGTTATAATTCTGTTTTTCGGAGAGCACGTTAACATCTTACAGCT